AAGAGCCCTATAGCTCTCAGCCTGTCGTTGTAAGGTCTGTTTTCCTGACCTCTGATCATGTGCGTGGCTCTTCTCTGGACACTCTCAAGCTTCTCCCCATCCTTTTTGAATTGTGGAGCCCAAAACTGGACGTAGTACTCCAGCTGCAGCCTCACCAAGGCCGAGTCCAAGGGGAGAATGACCTCCTGGGATTTGCTCAAGAAGCATCTATGGATGCAAGCCAGCTTTTTGGTCACTTTACTAGCCACAGCATCACATTGCAGGCTCATGTTCATCTTGTGGTCAATGATGACCCCCAAGTCTCTTTCTTCTGTAGTGCTAGCCAGCGTAGCACTGCCGAGCCTATAAGGATGCTGCAGGTTTTTCCTCCCAAGGTGAAGAACCTTGCATTAAAATGTTTATGCCTTAAAACCTTGCATGTTTAAAAATATTTATGCATTTATTGTAATGGAATTTGCTTCTGATAATTAGTAGACTTATGTCCTCTAAAGCATCCCTCAAGCCAGATAATTACACTTTTTTAGCCTTTCTTGCCTCAACAAGGCACAGACAATTGATTGTTCCGTTTTACAGGATCATCTTTTATTTTGGTGATAAGTCTAATGCAGAAATGTATGTTGCATTCCCTCATAGTCATGTGATTCGTGCATAGCAAGTGCTCTGAATTTTTGTAGTAAAAAATTTTGCATTAAGTAGTCTGTAATGTGCTTGAAACACATGTACTATATATTTTTCTCCTCATAAATGTCACAAAATTGTAACTGTACTATCCAACACATTCTACAAAACAGTTGAAAGTGGGTAACTACTAATAATTAGTCACTTATGGGTAATCAGTTGCTATTACAGTCACCTTAGGAATTAGGGAAGTAGGGTGGGAAGGGACCTCACAAGGTTCCCTAGTACAGGCCACTGCTCAAGGGCAGAGCTTGAGCAGAGGGTAAAACTCAGGCCCTTGGAATGATGAATTAACCAGCTTTTGCAGTCAATATTATTTGGCTCTGTTGGAAATATAGCAGTTTTGCTTGGTATTTTTAAAAAGATGGAAATTAAAGCTGATTAAATGTTTCAACTGAAACTTAGTAAGCTAATTGTTTCCTGATGTGTCAACAATGCAACGTTTTTCTTGCTCTCTGAATTAAGCAGAGGAAACATGACTTATTCTTTTCTCTAGGGCTTGATTCTTTCCTTTGGATATTTTGAATTAGTTGATGCAACTTATAGTAAGAGTGCCTCCATCTGTTATAACATCACTTTAAATTAAATTATTTCTCAAAGCCAAAGTTCCTCTGAAACATCTTCTCTTTTATCCCAGTCCAGTTGTTTTTTCATTTTATTAATTCAGCTTTGTTTCTTTGTGAAAACAAAGCACTACTCTGTAGAAGAGAAAGATTCAAAGTGCTTACATTTGTAAGCAAACCAAATATTCTCACCTGGCTGTGTAATTTAGCTGTTTCTGTAGAGGACTTTTGTAGAGCCACTTTGACACTATATAGAGAAGTTGAAGATGATGTTTGACATTTAAAAATGAATTATTTTTAGAACCTGAAGCTATTTATTTAAAAAGGCTAATTCAGTAATGAAAGTGGTGATTGAATCAGGTGGGAATCTAAGTATACATTCTCAGAAGCTAAATATATGCTAAATACAGTGAGACTGAATTTCATTTTAAGCCATTTGTCCCAGCCACCTGCAAAAGCTTTAGATTGAGAGTGTGGTCGGGAGTAGAAAGGTAAGAAAGATTTATTGACTTAAAAAAACCACAGCTACGCATAATAACAAGACAAACGCTGACAGACAAAAGCAATTCGCGTCAGCAACTTGTAGGCTTTGCTAAATTTACTAGGCCTTACTTTATACAAGGCCTCACTACATCTTAAACTATAATTAGGCTTTTAGCAACAACTTATAGCTTAATATCTAAACAAATACAGAAAAACACTTGGTCTAATCTTCATAGAGCCTTCAGCAAGCACTTTTATCACACAGATATACTTTTCAGCTGCCACACCATTAATTTAAAATATCCATGAAAACCTGTGTTTTCTTATCAAGCCATTAGTTTAAAATATCCATGAAAAACTGTATTTTCATATCTTACGTGGTATTTGTCTGTTTCCAGAGAGAGGCTACTTTTCTATTCCAAGTTTGCTGTGTGTTCTGAAGGAGATTACTGAAGCTTCCTTGGCTCAAAACATTGATACTAATGAAGAGGTGGCAGCACTTCTGCATGCTGTTCAGACTGTGTTTCAGAAAGCTCTGGAATGTGTGGCACGCAGGCTCAAAAAGCAGAGGGAAGAAGGGCTTCAGGTATTTGTTTTTCTATTATACTTGGAACCATATGGATGTAAAGTTATAACTACAAGGACTGGCATCAATGTTTAATCAGATGTTAATTGGTGTGAAACTTGGATATGATGGGTTTAGTGTGCCAATATATTTTTTTGTTATACTGTCTTTTTCATAATTGATTTGATGCATCTGATCCTCTTAAGCCAGTGGTTCTCAGCAGGTCACCCCTCTACAACTTCTTAGTGGTATCCCTGGTTGAGAACCACTGTTCTACTCAACTTATCACTTCAGTGGTTCTCAGCTGGGTGCCAATACTGTTAGACCCTGACTCCATGTGGCGCCCCGTGACTAGGGAGACGACGATCCAATTGCTCAGAGAGCAAACACCAGCACACATTCAACAACAGTTTTATTCGAAATGGAGACAGCTTCAGACTATCTCCAACAAACCGGGAAGCTGCCATGAACCTTAGTTTCTTCCACATTTATACACCTTGGTTCATGCCCATTAACATTTACTTCACCTTTTTCCCTCCTTTGTTCCACCCATATTCCCTCCTAACTTAAGCTCTGCCTCTGTTTACTGTTTGTTTCATTGGCATGGAATTACCTATGCATTTTACTCATTTGCATGCCTTTTTGCTATGAGTGCATGCCTAGGACTTTGACCTCCACTTCCTTTGATCACTTGCCGTTTCTTGCTGACTCCTCCTTCATCTCCAAAGTCTTATTTTTGCTTTATCTCCTGATGATAGCTGGTGGGCTACATCCTGTTCTCCTTACACAATGAGCTATGTATCTTACAATACTATGACATTGCTAGGAAAATGCTTGCCTAAGCATCTTGCAGTGTTACTTTTAATATGTCATTCTGCCTTGTGGTTAGCACCTTTGCTGGGCCACAGGCTATAGTCTTGTATTCAGCTGCAAATTCAGTGTTCCCTAAGATCTAAATACTGTCACCCTAACAACTACCTCCAGATAAGTGTCCCACATACCTGGTGCACAGCCAGCTTGGGAAGGGCTGTGATGTGTATGCACTCCTGCCTCATTAGGGTTCTTTGATCATCCAAAAGCAAGCAGGAGAGGTGCCTTGTATTGTAACCCTTCCCAGTCCAACCCAGAAACACAGGCACATGGTGCAGATGTACTCAGTAGTATTTTGCCCACTGCAAGTCCAGCTCAGGATCAGCAGTGGTGAAAGGTAAATGAGGGTTTGTATGTAAATCGGGATTTATGTCAGTGAGGAGCACAAAAATGAATGGAGCACTTTTATATGTGCTTCCTTCAACTGCAGGTTCTCTCTCCCCAACCCCCTGGCAGCTGAAATTTAAGCCTAAGAAATAATAAAAAAGTTTTAGCCTACTCTACAGTCTCTAGTTAAATGTGCTTTAATGGATTCTTCCCCATATGATATGTAGAGTGGACTACATTGTGTTGCTAAATTCTGAGGTAAAAATTAGGCAAGTTAAGAAATCTTTTTTTGTGATGTAGCTTTTTTGCCATATGGGTGCCAGATTAATGCTGAATGTTCAAGGAAGGAAGGAAATGAGCCAAACCCATTGACAAAAGGATGAGACTGACTGTTGGAAGATAGGAAATGGCCAAGTGAAAGGCTCTGTCCTCCTTGCTGAGAGAAGAGTCTTTCGCCCTAAAGACAGTATTGAACAACACTAATAGGTACAGGTCTACTAAACTCAAAGAGGCAGCCAGCCAATTTTATGGGCAGATCTCGGGGCCAGCCACAGTTTTTGAGGGCTGTAAGCAGCAGCACCCCCTCTGCCCTCCCCCCAACTCCAGGAGTGAGATGCACTGGCAGGGCCGGGGGGGGTTTCTACTTAAACAATTTACTGGGTTGGGATTGACCGTCAATGTTTACAGATGGTTCCTGGTACAAAAAAGGTCGAGAATCACTGCCTTAAAGGCTGTCCTTCAAAGAGAGGGGTGGCAAATTGACCTGTGAACTGCTTGCAGTCTGCCCTGTTTGTTGCCCCTGTTCACTCATTCCCTGGTCGCTTGGGGGAAGCCCCTTTTTATATACCCTGCTGCGCCTGGACTGGCTCTGCCCCCTTATTAGAACTTCTGTCAGACAGAGGCAGCAATCACTCAGCTAGCAGCACTCCCAGCTCAGAGCACACACCCAAAACACACAGCCTGCCAAACAAACTTTTTGCAAGCTAAACACATAGGAAAGTCTGGCTCACTTTACCTTCCTGAAGCAGGATCTGGTGCCTGGCTCCTTTTCTTTTTCCTCCTCTTGCCCCCAGCGAATTGCCTGCAAACTTCCCTGTTTGCTGCTCCTGTTCACTCTCTCTTACAAGTCTTTCATCTGTTGTATCTGTTCATCCATCTTTGTTACAGATAGTAACTTTCAAACACTGTACCACATATCTGACCTCCCCGCATGGTTTTCAGAGACTCTTGTTTTCCCAGAAAAGAGGCCTTCCTGGATCATTGGCAGCAGTCAGACACGGTTCTCTGTGGTGGTGCTAGGATAAGAGATTCTGTGCGAGGAAAGCATTAATCCTGTCCAATCAGGATTTCTTCTAGCTTTCGTAGGATTTGACCCTTGCCTTTAGTGGCCTTGTGCTTTTCAGTTCTTATGAATTTGCTTCTATGTTTAGATTCCCAAAGAGGTTACTGTTGGTACTCTTTCTTATTTTGAGTTATTAAATTGCATGAAGACAACTAAAATATATTAAACATTTTCCTAAAATTAGTTTTCTAGGTAAGCAATTGCTCTGTTTGCTATAGATATGTTAGATGACAGCAGATGGGAGGGTGCACACATTTTTTTGATGTGTCTTACACTATAGAGTTCACACGGTGGGGGAGAATGTTTGAGCACCCTGACTGAAAAATGTTAATTGTGGTAAAATAATTGCAGATTGGAAATACCTGATCTCTATTTTTATTTGTTTTAGTTAATTCATTCTATTCAAGTGCCTCTTGGAGAATTTGTACACACAGTTCAGTGCTGGCATTCAGCTTGTCCAGCAGTTCAGCACGGTGTACTCTCCACTCTTCTCGCTGCAACAGTAGTTGAAATAAGCCATATGCTACGAAAGGTAATGAGTATGAATGCAATTGTATTTTTCATGTGTTTTTATTATGTGCTTAACCATAAAAAAGTGAAGACCTTTACAGGATGTCCTGTTGTGGTCAAGCTTGAATTTTTTCAGTCTTGTCCTCAAGGAAAGTTTGGCAGGGATAAAACTGATCTTTTTGTAGGCTTAATAAAAAACTTTGTTAATTCTCCTGATTGTGCAAAATAAAGAAGAGTCACTTTGTTCTAAGTATTTATATCAAAATGAATTTCATTCTGTCCTGAGCAAAGAGAGATTTCTATATTTTTGTTCATCTTTTAACAGTATCCTGATCCCTTACTAAGCATCTAGACAGTATGGTCATTAAAAATAGTATGCATAATCTTGAGTGCTTTTATCTTAAACATTGTGTTAAGACAATGGAAGGTCTGATCATAATATGCAGCCTTCATACCAGAAGCCAGATTTGGATCTTTTTAATTATGGGAACTACAAATCCCATATTTGATTTAGAATTAAATAATGAGATGCATTTTTCACTAGGCCTGTGCAAATCAGCAAGTATTCGCTTCTGATTCAGATTCGGCTGATTCGGAGGGACATTGATTCGATTCAGAGATTCAAATCACTGTCCCAATTTGATTCAGCCGAATCAGATCCAAAGATATGGCACTGCTTCGGAGATTCAGCTATAGATTAAATGAGCAGCAGTCGTCACCATGCTGGACACAGCTTCTTCCAGCTGGTAAGTCTGTTGCGGAGGGGAGAGGGAAGGGGTGTTGGGGGGGAGGGACTGGGGCTGGGACAAGCTGCCCAGCCAGGGTGGGCAGGTGCAGGGCAGGTGCTGATGCTTGCCCCTTTCTTCTCAGAGCGAGCCATGCCTGCTTCACACCCCCTGCCCTGGCTGGGCAAGAGGACACAACCACTGCTGGCACGCCTGCATCCCACACACCCCCTGCCCCCCTCCCTGTATACTGCGCCAACCCTGCCCCGGCTGGGCAGCTTGTCCCAGCCCCAATCCTTCCCTTCCCCATTCCCCTTCCCTCCCCCCACCACAACAGACTTACCAGCTAGAGGCAGCTGTGTCCAGCATGGTGAGGACTGCTGCCTGTTTAGTCTATGGCTGAATCTCCAATGTGGCGCTGAATCTTTTCCAATTAGATTTGGACCTTTTAATTGGTCTCCCATTTGATTCGGATTCAGAGATTTGGCTGCCAAATAGGGCCGAACCTACTCCAAATCGAATTGGCTACCGAAGCTTCACAGTCCTATTTTTCACCTTTTTAATGAAGTAATTTAAGAACCTAGGGACTGTTATATTGGAGCTAACTCATGATCCATCCATCAGACAAGAGCTGGAATGATTTTTTTCCATTGAAAAGGTGCTCTACTAATAACAGTATCAAAATAACAAGATGGTTCTTTGAGTGACTGTCAATATGTATTCTAATAGGCACTGGTAATGTATACATCTCAAAGACTAGCTGCTTTGAGGCAAATTGGCCACTAGAGAAGAATCATTTGTCTCACTGACCTGAAGATCAACTAAGAGAAGCCTTCTTTGGTACAGACACAAAGATTAGAGGTCCTTGCAGATATGAGTCAAGTTTCAACCTCTTAGAAGCCTGCTCAACCATACAGTGCTGTGAGAGCTTGCCCAGGGCTGTCATGCAGTTTTCTGCATATATGGTGTACAACATGCCAGACTGTTTTTGTTGTATGCAGAAGTTGCATACAACAGATACTAGATAGACTGGGACTGCAGGTCCCATCTGAAACCAGTTATCTATTGAATTAGTTGAAAGATCCAGATTAGATATGGAAAGAAGAACTTTTCTCGCAATGTCTTTGTTTGCACATGCTTCTTTTAAGGTGGGAGAACACCTGAACCATCATCAGCCCCATGATTTATGAACCCACAAGGAAACTTGACTATGTCTAAATGT